TTAAATTCATTATATATTTTCATAAAAACTGTAATAGTAATCAGTATAGGTGCACTTTTTCCCTAAATTGTAACATTTATATTAAACTCTAATATGAGTTTAATACTTAGTAGTATGAATTTTCTTTCAGTGTAATTATATTAACTGTATACTTGTTTATTTAATTTTAATTATCATTTGTAAAATAAAAAACTAGAAATAAGTAAATACTAAAAAATAATCAAAATTTGGTTGTGTCAATTAAAGGGTCAGAATTTTTAGGCATGGAATTTTTATTTGGTAGAATACTTAAAACGCTAAATTTTTATTTGTCCGAAATTGCAAATGGTCGAACAAACAATCGATAGAAAGTTTTCGGCGCGATGTTTAAAATTTACCAATCAAAAGTAGTCAAGAAAATCGTGATTGGTGAATTTTAAACATCGCGCCGAAATCATTCTGTCGATTGTTTGTTCGGCCATTTGCAATTTCGGACAAATAAAAATTCGGCGTTTTAAGTATCCTGTAAATTAAAAATTCGATACATAAGAATTATGTTTAGTAAAAATTTGTTTAAAAACAAATTCAGTCAAATGTTAACACAGAAAATTAAAAGGCATTAAAATAAGCTGCAACGTTTATTATTTTAATCCAATTTTGCTTATTTTAATTCATTTTGGTATTAAAATAAGCAAAATTGGATTAAAATAATAAGGATTGCAGCTTATTTTAATACCTTATAATTTTCTGTGAATTTGAAAAATAAAAATTCCTCTAAAAAATAATTTTATTTAATAAAATTCTTTAAAATGAAAATTTTAACTAATAATTCTTATGGAATAATCATGTGCTCGCAATAAAAATTTTATTGGAACGACAAAAATTTTTTAGTTGCACATATATATATTTTACAAAATGTTTCGTTGTCAACCTATATATATCTTTTTTCTCATTGCAAGAACTAATTTTTGTTTGCAAGTAAATTTATTTAAAACTTTAAATATGATATTAAGATTTTTGAGATTCTAAATTTTAAATTCATGTCACTTTTTAATCTCTCTAAAAAAAATCAATTTTTAAATTAAAATTAATTATATTTTAACAAATTCCGATTTTCCTTTATCAAATATACCCTCTATTATGTAATTTTTCATTTATACTTTGACATTCTGAAGACAGAAGAAGATCAAAAACAGGAAAATCATTGAAACTCATCAGGAAGTATATCTTTAATCTGTTCGCATGAAAGGAGTTCAACAGATTACACAGACACAACAAGAAGAAAGGGCGCTGAGCAGAGCGACAATAGGAAGAAAGGGGTTGCTTCCTCGGAAAATGAAGACAATGGACCAAGAGAATATCTCGAAAATCGATTGCCTAAACGAGTAAGTTAGAACGTACAGATTGAACTGCGAGAGAGGATCGTTAAATTATAACACAAAAAGCAAAAAAAAAAGTTATTTTGCCAAAGTGTGATTAAATTTTTTTTTCTCTATATATATATAAATATATAGAGGGGAAGAACCATTTAATTATATTTTATCTCCAATGTTGTTGTGAACTATTTTTAGAAAACTGACTGTGAAAAAAAAATGTCAATATGTAGAACAAGAGGGATATATCAATTCAGAGCAGATTTTAGGTATTGAAGCAAAAATACATATGAAGGTCTAGTACCCGAAATCTGTTTTCAATTTATACTCTTCTTGTTCTAAATTCACATTCTTTTTTTACAGTGTTGAACAAATTTGGAAGTTTTTTTATTTAAGGTAAAAAAAAAGTTGATTTACATTAGAAGAAAAGTCGAGAAAGTCGATTTTTTAAACTGCATAGTAATTTATCAAGAAATTTTATTTAGATAATATTTCAAAATTGAACTGAGACATATTTTCAATTTTCAAAAATTTTAGATTTAAAAAAAAAAATATGAAAGTTACTCTTTGGAAAAAAAATCTAGTCTGATTTATGCAAATTATTTGTGAATTCAGAATTTTGTCAAAATTTGAATTTGAAATATGGTTAAAAAAAAAAAATTCAGTCACTTTTATATAAAATCATATACTTTATGGAAAATGGGAGAATTTTTACCTAAAAATATTTTAAGGTTATGTGATTTTAGAATAACTTTGCTAAAATTATAAAGAAATAATAATAATAATAATAATAACTTGGCCAACAAATTTTAAATAACAAATTTTAAAAATAATCAAATTTTAGGAGATTTTAAATTAAAAACTTTATAAATTTGAATCGCTAAAGACTTTTTTAAAAGAATTTTAAGCAATAATTAAATTTTAAATAATTAAAATTGTCAAAGAATTTCATAAAAATTATTAAAAAATAATTAATTTCGCAAAGACATTTTAGATTAAAATTTTCAAAATAATTGAATTTTAGAAGTCCTACAGTTTGTACAGAAAAAGTCATAGGTATTTTGTTTTTAATTTAATAAATTAATTAATATTCAATTTTATTTTATTATTATTATATTTTCTTTTTTTTTATTTAAAAAATATATCATTTCTACAAATAGAATTTATTGAAAATGTAGACTTTAAATGAAATATATACCTATATATATATAATGTAATGACAAAAAAAATCTGTATCTAATCTGTATCTCTATCTGTATCATAGCTGAGAAAAAGAGAAAAAGAGATAAATGAAGAGGAACATCATTCCCTCTCTCGCTCTCTTTCTCTCATTGTCGCCTTTATAGTGCGTCGCGGCGCCAGTCGTCTTGACGCTATATGAAACCCCGTCATTTATTTTCTCTACATAATGCAAAAGCTACTGCCGCATGGTAGTCGGCGCTTTAGATTCACCAAGCACACTTTTGCCTTTATTCTTTCTTTTCCATGTTTTTCCTTTTTTTGCATCCCTTATTCAGACGCGTAGCCCTTAAGATGGAAATATATATATAGTATAAGCACCACCTTTGACATTTGATCGATCTGAAAATTGCTTCGCTCAACGAAAACCGTGTTTGCCAACGAGGTAACTTTATAGGTATAGCATTTACGTCTTATATAGAATGAGCAAATCGGAGAAGCTGGAGCTTACTTCCGGAAACTATGTTATATGAAATTTCGATGCCGCATACTACATATATTGAAATAGTTATAAGGACATGAAAGAAGAGAAGTTAATAATATGGTGACAAAATACGATAGCGAATATACGCTGGAATTTTGTAATTATAATTTCAAATTAATATATTACTGAAAATTTTAACTTATAAAGTGTTATTATAATTATCTCTTTAAAATTTGAATCAGTGAAATTCCATTGATTCAAATAGTTGATATTTAGTAACTGATTTTTTTAAGGCAACAAAAATCTATTTTTCATTTTTTACTATTCACTTTAAAATTTTTTTAAAATTTCCTTTTTTTTATAAATTTACGGATTTCTGTTCCATAATATATTATCGGTAGACGTTAGATAAAAAATTTGATAAATGTGTACAATTTATGAAGAATCTTTTAAAATGACAGATTTGAAAAATAGTTTAGTGTATATAAAGAAGGTGCATCGGATAGAAAAAATTTTCAAAATATAAATATATTAATAAAATTGAAAAATGTTACCTATAAAATATGATTATGAAAATACTATTTTCCTTTTTTCCCCATCATTATTTTATATAGATGAATAATTAAATATTATTTTTTATCTTTTATGAATGCAAGAATACGAAAAATGATATTCAGTTTTATTAAACACAATTTTTTGCCATTATATATGGTGTTAAAAAAATTTTAAGACGACTCAATTCCTTGACATAACCTTAAACTAAAAATTAGTTTTATTACCAAATTAATTTTACTAAAGTTTTGTAGGATCCAGTTGTACAATTTTCAAAAAAAAATTATACTGAGTCAAAATTTGTTGTTAAATAATTATTAATTAATTCGGATCAAATTTGTTATTGAATAAATAAAACGTTTTTTATATTTTTTAAAACAAATATTATTTATCAAATGTAACAAACGGAATTGTAGAGAATTTTTTAAATATTAAAATAAACAACAAAGTCATATAATAATAATTATTTAACAACAAATTAGGACTTAATATAATTTTTTTGAAAATTGCAGAGCTAAATACTTCGAAATTCGGTGAAATTAATTTAAATTATAGTTATAGTTGTTGTCGAAAACAGTTCGACAAACCAATAGAGATTTATAAGTTTCGAAAAGCAAAAAAAGTATGAGAAGCCATATTAAAGAACTTACTTAACCTTATTTCTAAGTGTCTTTTATACTTTCAACAATAAAAGTAAATTTCAAGTTAACCATTTTGTTTTAATAGTAATAGCACAGTTTTCTTATTTGTATACAGCAAATTTTTGTTAAAAAAGTTAATTTCCTGAAAATTTTATATAAAAATTATACCTTAACGTTTAAATTTTTCAAAGAAAAAAAAAAAAAAAAAAAAAAAAAAAGATAATGTGCGACAATTTCCTTTTCCGCAGAACATTCAACTTTCATTTTATGAAAAAAATATAAATGTCCATAATTAAAAAATCTTTTCATGAAATTGAAAGAAACGACGGAAATAAAAACTTAAAAAGAAAAAAAAATGTCGTATTTCCATTTCAGTTATATATTATCAGCAAGAACTTTAAATCTTTTAAACGTTTTAAGAACATAAAAAAAATTTATTTAATTTTTTATAAGCTTAATAAATCAAAAAAAAATATATTAATATATAAATATTTATAGAAAAATAGCATCATTTTGCAGTAAAAAAAATTAAATTTTTGTTATTTTCTATTATTCAAAAACTTCTTTACTAAAAGTGTAGATATTTAAAAAAAAATGTAAAAATTTTTTATTAACAAAAAAAAAAAATGTATAAAAAAGCAAAGAAAAAAAATTTCCACAGAAGTTATTTTTTCTTCATTGAAAATTAATTCAATTGGAGTCTATTTGCTTTCCGTGATGAAAAGTATTATTGTCTGCGAAACCGCAGACTTTAAATGAGAAGGTGATAAGAAAGTTGAAAGAAAAACTCACCTTTAAAGCTTCCTCGTGGGTGACAGCCCGAAAGGGCGTGCCGTTCACTTCCAAGATGGTGTCTCCTGGCCTGAGTCCAGCACGTTCGGCCACCGAACCTTCTTCCACCCTCGAAATGTAAACTCCCACCCCTGAGAACAATTCACATACTTTCCATTAGGCTCTAAAACATTTTATATACTCTTAATAATCGACAAATGTGCACTAATCCATTCCACTCATGGCGCCATGTGCATTCAACAAACCAGATTGCATTTTCCACTCAACGTAATGTTCATGCAATCGGGAAAAGCTTCAATTTCAAGGTCTTTCAATTTATCTCGTTCCATAAACTCAATTGGCACTGATTTCATACTACAGAGTCGCTATACAGAAAATCCTCTCATCTAAGGATTCTTCAATTTTTTTTATTCTTTTGTAAATTTCAAACCTTCAATTAATTAACATTAATTAATTCAATTAGTTTATAATAATTAATAATTAGAAAAAAAAGAAACACTAATGAAAAATATAATTCCATCAAAGAAAATAAAATGAAAAATAATAAAATAAAAATTTAAAGTAATAAAACAATATTTAATTGTAATTAACAATAAGTTAATTACAATAAATACAGTAACAATTATATACAATAAAAGATAAAAATTTACTTAACTTTGAAACAAAATAAAAAGTTACTTCTTCAATATAATAAAACCTAACAATTTAAAAAAATAAAATCTAAAAAAAAAACAAGTAAAATTTCACTAAACACTTTTTTAATATTTTCTTTTCTTTTTATAAAATTTTACTTTATATAGCATGGGAAAAATATTTTATATTTACATGTGCAGTTGACAAATTTTATTTTATTATTCGACCCATTTTCTCTGGACTGAAACAAATTCTCTTGAAAGTAAAACAATTCAACATTGAAAAATTGCACTTTCAAATGCATATATGAAATTTGTATGGAAATTGTGAAAATTGAAAAGAAACGAGAATCTTAATTTATCAAATGGAAAATATTTTATCAGAATGATGATTTAAACTGAAAACATCTGAAGTAGAACAATTCATTATTGAAATCGATCATGTATGAATTGTTTCAACGATTTTATTATTTAACAGAATTCCCGTCATACGTAAATAAAAGAGTTTAAATTGAAAAGCATTGAGAATTTGAAATATTTTTAATAGAACCCATACACTAGTGTTGAATTTTTTTTTTTCAATTGGAAACACTTTAGTTGATTTTGTTTAAAATAAAAGAATATATATTATCTCAACCTCAACAATTACTGTAATTTTTTTATTGTTTAAAATTCAAATCTCAGCTAAATTAGTGCATTTAATAAATTATTTTTACAAAAATTATTCAATATTTAAAAGTAAATTTCAAATTCACTGGATCATTTAAAATTTAATTCACTTTATTTATACATAATTAAATTAAAAAATTCTAAAAAATCTTGATTATAATTTATTATTTATAAGAAAATAGTAATTTAAGAAAATCATATGCAAATTTAAATAATGGAAAAACAACATTTGCGCAATGATATTTTTGTCTAACAAGAAAACTGTATTTTCTTAGATTACAGGGATTTCTAGGTTATTCTGTAATTTAATCAGAGCACAAGAACAAATTGAAACAAGATAAAATCATAGTATGTCTACAAATTTCAGCAGTAATCTGAAAATCAGAGTTCTTAAAGCCCCGATTCAGTGACCTCCAACCTTTGGTCTTTTATTAGAAGCTGTTCGAAAATCTAATGTAAATCAGGTCGCCATGTGTGGACATTTAATAAATATATATGATAAAAAAATTGATTGAATAAAAATGAAAAAAATAATTAAATATAGTCAAAAACTGGTGCGAATGCATAAATGGTGTACAAAGAAAAATAACTTCATTTGAATTATAATATTCAATTCAAAGTTTCATTATTATTATTATTTATATTCCTAGAATTAATAATAATAATAATATAAATATTAATAATAAATAATAATTTAATTATTATTAGTATTTCTTTACTAATATTTTCAATATTTATAATTTAATTACACCTCAAGAACAATATTCTAAAAAAAAAATAATATTCTCTAAGAATAATATTCTTAAAAAAAAAAAGAATATTCTTAATTTAACAATTGTTTTTTATGTTAAAAATATATTCTTAAACTTACAGAAAATAATTCTTTCGGTGTAATTAACTAAATAATTTTTAATATTCGTTGATTATATTCATTACTTAACAAATTTTTTGGGAAAAAATAAACTTATTTACATTTTCAAAATAATTAATCAATAAAATTTTGTTTCACTCTCTATAGCTGAATTATTGTCAAACTAAATATAATTCAAAGTAGAAAGAATTAAATTTTAACTTCACTGAAAATGTACTATATATTCGCAAAAAAAAAAAAAAAAAAAAAAAAAATAGTCACAGTAATTATGATTTGAGTAGTGGACTATTTTCTAATTTGAATTAATAATCCATTTTTGACCATTTTCAGATTTAGAGTACAAAACTGCTAAATAAATATTGAGAGTTCTTTTTTTTTTTTTTTTGTTTTTTTTTTTAATGATTGTTAGGAATTTATTTTTCTCTGTGTAAAAAGTGAGCTGACCATCTGACATGACAAATATTATCGTGCAGAACGACAAATTGCCGAAAATAAAAGGCAAGTGATATAAAAGTGATGTGATTTATAGAGAACATGCTTTTTCTGCATTTTGCATACACACACTCACACACATGATATTTAATATTACATATTTGTGAAAATTAAATATGGCCTTATTTTCATATACCATATATAGTAAAAAATATTCACATAAAAATATTTAATCAAATATTTTACATTAAAATTCAATAATTTTATTTTAATAACCATAAACTAAATAGTAATTAAAATAAAGTATTTAGTCTAAATAATTCTATGTTTTTTTTTTTTTGTCGAAATTGTTCTAAAATTATTAAATTTAATTTAATGTAAAAATTGTGATATTGAAGAACAATTTTCCACTTGCTCTGACGATATTTTCTATACAAGAGAAAAAAAAATTATTTTTTTTAATGACTGTATAACTATTTTTTTTCGCTAATAAAAAATAGAAAAAAAAATTTCAACAAAATATGAATCACAATTCAAAATGGTAGGTATTTGACTGGAATTTTCAACATTCAAATAGCTTTCAGTAGTGATTTTCTGAAAGGGTCCCTACTCCATCGCACGTACGGCCAAAGCTCCTTTCAATTCTCTACCTATTCAAGATTTTCAAAAGCTTGAGTCACAATTTGAAAAAAATCTCCCTTTAAAGAATGTACAAAATGGGAAATTAAAACTTTTTTTTTTTCAACGGTTGCAAATATCGAGCGAACAGGAAATTATGAATAAAAGCTGAACAAGAAAAGTGGAAAATATATAAATCAAATTTAAAAACTTGTTATAATCAAAAAGAATTTTTCAAAATCAATTAATAAATCAACTTTTGAAAATTATTCCAATATATAATACATCTACATACATTTTTTGTAACAATGAAAAGATATTTTAAATTAAATATAAGTATACAATATTATTAATATTATATACATAGAAGAGAAATTTTAAGATAGAAATTGATTGGAAATATAAGGGAAGATGCTTCTTTAACTTCATTAGAGCTTAAACCGTTTATAGATAGTGAAGGATTAAATTCTGACAAATAATGCAAGAAGGAATTACATTATAATGCCTAATTAATCTTCAAGAATGAAGGCAATAATCGAGATAAGATAAGCGTTAATAAGAGATAATGAGAAAGGACAATGAATAGTGTGATAAGGGACAATGGCAAGATGATTTCATCGAAATTCCTTTATAATGAAAGGATCTCTCTCATTATACATAATAGTAATTGCAAAAGGCAAATAAAGCCGCTCTTGCAAATCCTATTTCCGCCAAAGAAGCTTTTTTCGTTTATATAAATGTTAAGCATTCGTTTAATTAAAATCGCATTATTTCAAAACATTCATAATTAAAGCATTGAATATGCTAAAAATGAGAAAAAAAAAATTAACTCGATATATTATTTTGAATAAATATTACAAAAAAAATTTCAATATTTTTAATTAATTACAAATATCACAGTGTATTTATCAAATTTTATAAACTTTAAAACAGACGAAATTTTATTTTCAATTTAATTAAAAAGATTAACAAATAAATATATTTATCTTTCAACTGCGAAAATACAAAAACACAAATTATTGAACAAAAATAATACTAAGACAATAAACTATTTTTAAAGGAAATAAGAAACACTTAAAATATATACTAAATTTGAAGCCATTTTTAATATTTCGTTTTTAATTTATAATTAATTTTAAATTTCAATACCAAAAATTAAACACTTAAATTTAAATGGATTAAAAAATAATTTGTTTTCATTTTATAATCGATAGTGGTAATTTATAAAAGAAAGTTACAAAAAGAGATGAATAAATATATATGACTTTCTATGATATCTGTAATTAATATTTTAATAAAAACATTTTTATAAATATGTCAAAATAAAAAAAAAACAAGGATAAATATAAAATGTATACCTGTAATAAAAAAAAATTAATTAAAATTTCGTAAACAGTTTAATGATAATTTGAAAAACAAGAATAAAAATATAAAAATTATTTAAAAAATGTTAAATTTATATAAAAATTATTTATTGTAAAAATGTTTAATAATAATTTAATTGAGGCAAGTTTTAATAAAATTAGAAACTAATTAGTGATCTATAATCGTGCAAATTAATAGAAAAGATTGATGTGACCGACGGGAAATTGCATATTAAAAGTTTATATAATAAATAATAATAATAATAATAATAATAATAATAATAATAGTAATAAACGTTCCAAAAACATTTCAATCGTTATAAAAGATAGTTATCATTATTTGAAATATTTAAAAATAGTTCATAGAAATATGCATACAATTCATGCAGATACACTCAGCAAAAAATTTGTTTGAAGCAACCAAATTTTGGTTAAATCAACAAAATAAATGCATTGATATACAGTTAACCAAACATTTGGTTGCATAAGCCAAACGTTTATTTAGCTCAATCAAATTTTTTCTTTGTTCAAAAAATTTATTAAAA